TTCTCTTCTTGGGATAAGAATAAATGTTGAATTTCTTGACCATGGCCATAATGTGTTTTAAAATAGGAAACTTCACACATGCCATTTTCATTTTTTTTTACTATTATCTGGCTAGTACAGGAATAAGACAGTTTCCGTGAACCTTGAGACTTAAGTGCTCTTTTACGATTTTCCTTCAGTAAATACGGCCTGGAGGACCTAACACATTCAAAATAAAATCTTTCTGTTTGATTAACATGATTTATTCCCCTCACTTTGCAATACTGAACATCATTTTGCTTTTCCTCCTGGGCAAGCCAAGCACTAAAATCTGAAACAAAACTTGCAATTTCCTACTGAACTATTCAAAGATTAATAACTATTTTATTAGATACCTGAAATGTTTTTAAATTCCAAATTCATCAATTCCGTGATATGATCATGTCTTTCCTTCAAATGCAAACGTAAGTCGTTGTTAAAGTTGAAATATAATTCACACTCTAGACAGGAGTACTTTTTGGGCACTGTATATTCGATATAATTACGTCGAATTTGTTTATGTACATTCCTGTTGTGTCGATTAAAAGTTGACTGGCTGGAGAATACTTTCTCGCATTCAAAACAAAACACACCCATTTTTTTTCTTCTTGAAATACAATCGAATATTAATAACAATAAAAAATAAAACCAGAGCAATAGAACAGAAAAAACACTAAACTCAAGCATCAAGCAAATAAGTTTGAGGTTAAGTTTATTTCCTGGAGACAAGGACAAGACATTTTGACAAGTGACGTCATGGCACGAGATGTTCTGTTTACCGCCTTCTAAATATCCAACATACACATGATAAAACCCATGTGAACTTGTCACACAATGGCTGCGTTCATCCGCGCCACATGCTACCTGATCGATCTGGTAGCGCTCTCGAGTGGCACGTATGAACGGTGTATTTTTACATTTCGCTCAAGGAGCGGCCGCCATTAAAAGTAGCGCATTTTATTTACGTCTGATCGGTGATCACTGATCTGTCTTATGCACTTACGTCCACGGTTTGCTTGGTGACTAGTAGGGTTATATTAGCATATTAGCAATTGAAAAATAAACAAACAAATCTTCAACCAGAGACATTCAACTCAAAAGTAAAATGAATAAACCAAAATCAAATGTCACTTTTAAACATGGTTCATCCGTGCATAAAGATCGATCAGGTAGCGTAAGTGATCGCTACTTTTGTAGCGCTCCTTGAAATGGCGCGGATGAACGCAGCCAATATTTCATGTGAAGTGAACATTCGTCGATTTACCAAGAATATGATTTGTGCACTTTTCATGTGAATGATCAAACGAGTGAACAATTAGGCATTCCAAACAAATGAATTACCAGTGGGCAGGTTTGGTATATCTAAGGGTGGCGACATATGGTGTATTCTATCTACTTTACGTAAAATCATGAATAATGGATTACATTTAAATATTTTATGTCAAACACAATAAAAATAATATTTAAAAAACCCACCTATACATTTCTTCATAAATTGGCAGGCTTGGCGACTACTACTTTGAATAAAAATAGCGTCCAAGTTGCAAGACTATGTCGCTACCCCCTTAGATATACAAGAATTTCCCACTGGCACCTATTGTTTGACAGGTCGTTGGAATGCCTAATTCACACAGCTCGAGAATAGGCCCCCTGATGATTGACATGTGTAGTTTTTCTGTGTGTATAGGTTCTTTCGTTCGTCCCACTGGTGTAGTAATGAACTACACCAACCCACACCCATACCTTTCGTTTGGCCCGGTGTAAAACCCACTATACCTTCCTGTCGGCGATGTGGTGTACACTGGTGGATATTTTCTCCACCAGGGGTGCTATTTTCAAAGTCGAGAGAATTCATTTCTCTCGAGAGAAATGTCATACGTCAACGTAAAACACTATTTTTAGGGTCCTAAGGGCCAGTGTGAACTCACTGATTGTTTCTCACGGTTTATTTAGAGATAATTAATATCCTCCTAAGAATTTTAATCCTCGAGGCCTTTAAAAACAGCGTTTCCACATTGACGTATGACATTTCTGATGAGAATCTTGAGAGAAATGAGTACTCACACGGTTTGAAAATAGGTCCCCAGCTATTTAGCAGGAGTGAATTACACTCGACGATGTGTATAAGGAATAAGGAGGAAGTAAATTAAGGTAAATAAGGTGGTGTAACTGGTGTAATTTACACTGGTGGACACTACACCAATAGCGAACGAAAGAACCTTATGTGTATGACATTCACAGAATGGCTGCGTTCATCCGCGCCATTTCAAGGAGCGCTACAAAAGTAGTATTTTTCAATTGCTAATATGCTAATATAACCCTACTAGTCACCAAGCAAACCGTGGACGTAAGTGCGTAAGACAGATCAGTGATCACCGATCAGACGTAAATAAAATGCGCTACTTTTAATGGCGGCTGCTCCTTGAGCGAAATGTCAAAATACACCGTTCATACGTGCCACTCGAGAGCGCTACCAGATCGATCAGGTAGCATGTGGCGCGGATGAACGCAGCCAATGATAGATGACCACAGAACACTTCTCAAATGACATTGACAGAGTTCAAGCAATGAACTGGAGTGGGGTAGAAAGCCAATGTGCATATTGTATCAGTAGAACAAGGTGCGACTCTATGGGCGCAGCCATTTTTATTTCTCATCTCACTCGGGAGTATATATAATAACAATTTTCTGTTTCACATTGTTATTGTTGAATCCACAAGCTGGTGGATCAGACAATAACAAAGTGAAATAGAAAATGGTTGTTATAAATACTCCCGAGTGAGATGAAAAATAACCTGTCTTCGCCCATAGAGTCGCATCTGAAGCCTATTGACAATCATTCTACCCCACTCCAGTTCATTGTTCTAATGTCTAATGTCACGTATTAATAGGTCTTTTCCTTTGCATCGAAAGTGTAGCACTGAGCTACACCACTTCTGAAAATATCGTTCCATTTATACAAAATAGGTCTTTTCCTTTGCATCGAAAGTGTAGCACTGAGCTACACCAATTCTGAAAATATCGTTCCATATATACAAATTGTATGGATGGAACGATATTTTCAGAAGTGACGTAGCTCAGTGCTACACTTTCGATGCAAAGGAAAAGACCTAGTATGTCAATCTATGTCAATGCGCGTGCGCCTATAGTTAATTCAATTAGGCATTCCAACGACCTGTCAAACAATAGGTGCCAGTGGGAAATTCTTGTATATTTAAGGGGGTAGCGACATAGTCTTGCAACTTGGACGCTATTTTTATTCGAAGTAGTACTCGCCAAGCCTGCCAATTTATGAAGAAATGTATAGATGGGTTTTTTAAATATTATTTTTATTGTGTTTGACATAAAATATTTAAATGTAATCCATTATTCATGATTTTTCGTAAAGTAGATAGAATACACCATATGTCGCCACCCTTAGATATACCAAACCTGCCCACTGGTAATTCATTTGTTTGGAATGCCTAATACTAAAAATTGGTATCGTTGCAAACGGAAAAAAATATTTTTAGTTCTAAATTTAGTACTAAATTAATGACAAAGGCCCGTATTTATAAACAAAACTCAGCTGAGTCGGACTTGGGTAAGTCGTCCTTGAACTAAAATCGAAGTTCGGTTACAACGTCTCTAAAGTTCCAGGTGGTTCCGGTGTTACATTGGAATTTAGAGATGGATATTAGCAAATCTGTAACAGTTATGTACATTTACGGATTTGTTACTTCCCATCTTTAAGTTCACGCGATATAACCGAACTTTGATTTTCGTTCAAGGACGACTTATCCAAGTCCGACTCAAGTAAGTTCTGTTTATAAATACGGGCCTTAATTTAGTGCTAAGTTTAGTACTTAATTTAGTATCGTGACATACAGCCTTAAAAATGGGTACGGTAAAGAATAGTTTATTTTACTTTTAATGCATAATATTTTAATAAGAAATATTTAACAAATATTTTAAAAGTTATGGATTTTCCACCATTTTTTATAGTACTAAACAGCTAAAACGCAGAATATACTTTTTTATTTTTGTCCTAATTATTTCAGGAAACTTGTGTTAAGATTTAAAAATTTACTGTCGTTGATGTGGCGTCAATTTGTAACCGTGCTAATTCGAGACATACGTTTTATTAAACTCATCATGTTACGTATTTGTTGAAAAGGGTGAGATTACAGAACGTCTGCAACTTTGCAGACCTGCAAAAATGGCGGCAACTTTGCAAATCTGCAAATATGACTGATTTACACATGCATGTATCAAGTTTTCGTATTCCAAATTTGGGTTTAGTGTTGTTGGGGGTAATAAACCACAATAAATATTGCGAATTTGCAGATATTTTTTGGAATACTTGCATTTGTAATTCCGCCATATTTGCAGATCTGCAAAGTTGCAGACGTTCTGTAATCTCACCCTTAGGGTGAGTAGTAGTAGTAGTAGTAGTATCAAATTTTCGTATTCCAAAAAATATTTGAAAATTAGCAAAATTTATTGTGGTTTATTGCGAATTTGTAGATATTTTTTGAATACGAAAACTTGATACTTGCATCTATAAGCCCGCCTTATTTGCAGATCTGTAAAGTTGCTGCCATATTTGCAGATCTGCAAAGTTGCAGACGTTCTGTAATCTCACCTTTAGTCAACAAATACGTAACGCGATGAGTTTAATAAAACGTATGTCTCGAATTAGCACGGTTACAAATTGGCGCCACATCAACGACAGTATATTTTTAAATCTTAACACAAGTTTCCTGAAATAATTAGGACAATAATAAAAAAGTATTTTTTGCATTTTAGCTTTTTAGTACTATAAAAAATGGTGGAAAGTCCATAACTTTTAAATATTTGTGTTAAATATTTCTTATTAAAATATTATGCATTAAAAGTAAAATGAACTATTCTTTACCGTACTCTGAACTCATTTTTAAAAACAATTTCTGAAAATAATTGGCATGGTGGCCACCAACAGCGAACGTACCCAAAGTTTCGAACCTACTCTGATAAGATTAAAAATTGAACTTGAAAGATGTCATTACACTGACACATGTCATACGCTCTTTTCTCTGCGGAAATCCCTGTGGCATCTTCTCACGTAAGTTTGATCTTAAAAAATATTAATAATCTTAAATTATTTTGTATTTAGTATTTATTTGTATAAAAGAGTTTACTTCTTATAATGCAGTTTTATGGTTATTTTATCAAAATTATGATTTTCTACGACTTATTTTTATTTTTAAATAATGAAATGCATGATGTTTCTTGTTTACGTTCGTAAATCTAAAACATGAAAATTTGTATTTAGGAACCTATTTCAAATGTATATTAATGATGATTTAAGTAAAATTGACAAAATTTGCAATGTATGAAATAATCTCCCTAATTAGTTTTATGTTTCGAGCATAGCATAATGGTGTGATTGCAATGTTATTTTCAAAGGAGTTATTTGCATCATTCTTCTGACCTATTCTAAATACTTTTAAGTACTATTAGTTTGCTTGAATGTTTAATAGAAATAGTTTATAAGGTTTTTCATAGTTTATTTTTTCACAAATGATATTTTAATCACACTTTGTAGGTTTGTCGTAACTCATTCAAAACGTAAAGATGTCGGGAGGAATAGAGGCCTTAAGCCTCAAAGAAGATGATGTTACCAAGATGTTGGCTGCTGGAACTCACCTTGGAACAACAAATGTTGATTTTCAAATGGAACAATACGTTTACAAGAGACGTCCTGATGGTATTTACATTGTAAACCTTCGTAAAACTTGGGAAAAACTTCTATTAGCAGCTCGTGCTATTGTAGCTATTGAACATCCAGGTGAAGTATTCGTTATTTCATCTAGACCATATGGACAGAGAGCTGTTCTCAAGTTTGCAGCACACACTGGTGCAACTCCAATTGCAGGAAGATTTACTCCTGGTAAATATTACTTTATTAAAACTTAGTAATTGCACTGAAGTAGAAATAGACCAATTAAATGATATGTTCATGATGATAACACTAAGGAACCTATGAAAAATGATTTTACTCTTTAAAACTGACTTAAATCATTACAGTAATAAATTTATTATTTTAGTAGGTACTATTATTACGATTTTTTTCTATTTACAGGTGCTTTTACTAATCAGATCCAAGCCGCCTTCAGAGAACCCCGTCTTTTGATTGTTACTGACCCTTCTTTTGATCACCAACCTATTACAGAAGCATCTTACGTCAACATTCCTGTTATCGCCTTATGTAATACTGATTCTCCTCTGAGATTTGTGGATATTTCCATCCCTGGAAATAATAAATCGCCACACAGCATTGGGTTACTCTGGTGGCTCCTTGCAAGAGAAGTAAGTTTTTTTTTTGTTCTACTCTATATTAAATATTTTTGAAGATATATGTGAATTTTTAATGCATCAATAATAATTATAGTCTAAGATCTGATCATATGATTTCTGCACATGTTTATTTTTGAATCAAAATACAATTATAATTATTGATAGAAAAATACGACTGCCCGGGGGTTGATTATCCAAATATGGCTGATATGTATGGCTGACAGTATTTTTAATAGAACCCTTTTTCTACTTTAAGATAAATATATTATTTATGATTATAGAAAAAAAAAATTACCAAAAAAAGTTGTTTGTGATGTTATTCTCTATAATTTAGGCCATATATTAAATAAACCTTTAAATCAAAATTTTGGAGGAAATACAGGAACTTTTGATATAAGTCACTTTAGAGTATTTGAAAATGATATGTAATTTTCAGGCACCGGCAAATGTCAAAAAACAAGAAAATAAAGTGTTTTTTTAAGGTTATTAAGGTGCTATAAAAAAAGTTTTTAATAAAAATTGTAAATCATAAAGTTTTACATAAAAATGATATTTAACATTTTTTGCTATTATTAAAACTGACAGAGTTAGGGTGGTTAGAAATTAAGAGGAGATATATATGACTTGGAAAAATCATAGCAAGCTGAAAATTCAATGACTTTGTAGTTTCTTTTCATTATTTACTCAGAAAATTATTAATTTCTTTTAAGAAAAAAAAATTTTTTTTGAGTTATAACAATTTTAATTTAAAAATTTTCAATATATTATACGAATTTATATGATAAATTAACTATTGAAGTAAACTAATAAAAACGACATTCCGATAGTTTGGTCCCCAGTTAAAGTTCCATTAAATAAATAAAAATAGAAACAAACAAAAAAGAACTAAATAAATATAAATAATTAATAAATACAAATAGGTAAATTAAAAAAAAAATGAAAATAAGTAAATAAAAATAAATAGGAATAAATAAAAATAAACAAAAATAAATAAAAATAAATAAAAACAAATAAAGATAAATAAAAATAATTAAAACTAAAAAAAAAAAAATAAATAAAATAAAAAAATTATTAAATAAAAATAGATGAGAAGATAAGTGTAAAAGAAAATGAATAAAAATAATAAAATAAATATAAATAAGAATAATTGTAATTAAAAAATAAATAAAAATAATTAAAAAAATGAAAATATAATTTGAAAAAATATTTTTTATTTGTATTTACTTTCTTTTACATTTATGTTTTCAATTATTTTTGTTTAATTTCTATTTTTAATAAATTACCTATTTTTATTTATTTTGTTTTACACTTATCTTTTCATTTATTTTTGTTTAATTTTATTTATTTTTGTTTTATTTTTAAAAATTTACCTAATTTTATTTAATTTTTCTAACTATTTGTTATTTATTTAAATTTTAGGTTTATTTATTTTTATTTATTTTCTTTTACTTTTATCATAGCAAGCTGAAAATTCAATGATTTTATTTACTCCGAAAATTATAAATATCTTTTAAGAATTTTTTTTTTTTGTTTTTTTAAGTTATGACAATTTTAATTTAGAAATATTCAATTAATTATATGAATTTATATGGTAAATTTTGAAGTAAACTTATTAGCTTGCTGACATGAAAAATATTAGGAATGAACTAATAAAGACGACATTGCGTCAGTTTGGTCCCCACTTGAAGTTCCATTAAATAAATAAAAATAAAAACAAATAAAAATAAGTAAAAATAAATAAAAATAATTAAAAAAATGAAAATATAATTTGAAAAAATATTTTTTATTTGTATTTACTTTCTTTTACATTTATGTTTTCATTTATTTTTGTTTAATTTCTATTTTTAATAAATTACCTATTTTTATTTATTTTGTTTTACACTTATCTTTTCATTTATTTTTGTTTAATTTTATTTATTTTTGTTTTATTTTTAAAAATTTACCTAATTTTATTTAATTTTTCTAACTATTTGTTATTTATTTAAATTTTAGGTTTATTTATTTTTATTTATTTTCTTTTACTTTTATTATAGCAAGCTGAAAATTCAATGATTTTATTTACTCCGAAAATTATAAATATCTTTTAAGAATTTTTTTTTTGTTTTTTTAAGTTATGACAATTTTAATTTAGAAATATTCAATTAATTATGTGAATTTATATGGTAAATTTTGAAGTAAACTTATTAGCTTGCTGACATGAAAAATATTAGGAATGAACTAATAAAGACGACATTGCGTCAGTTTGGTCCCCACTTGAAGTTCCATTAAATAAATAAAAATAAAAATAAGTAAAAATAAATAAAAATAATTAAAAAAATGAAAATATAATTTGAAAAAATATTTTTTATTTGTATTTACTTTCTTTTACATTTATGTTTTCATTTATTTTTGTTTAATTTCTATTTTTAATAAATTACCTATTTTTATTTATTTTGTTTTACACTTATCTTTTCATTTATTTTTGTTTAATTTTATTTATTTTTGTTTTATTTTTAAAAATTTACCTAATTTTATTTAATTTTTCTAACTATTTGTTATTTATTTAAATTTTAGGTTTATTTATTTTTATTTATTTTCTTTTACTTTTATTATAGCAAGCTGAAAATTCAATGATTTTATTTACTCCGAAAATTATAAATATCTTTTAAGAATTTTTTTTTTGTTTTTTTAAGTTATGACAATTTTAATTTAGAAATATTCAATTAATTATGTGAATTTATATGGTAAATTTTGAAGTAAACTTATTAGCTTGCTGACATGAAAAATATTAGGAATGAACTAATAAAGACGACATTGCGTCAGTTTGGTCCCCACTTGAAGTTCCATTAAATAAATAAAAATAAAAACAAATAAAAATAAGTAAAAATAAATAAAAATAATTAAAAAAATGAAAATATAATTTGAAAAAATATTTTTTATTTGTATTTACTTTCTTTTATATTTGTTTTCATTTATTTTTGTTTAATTTCTATTTTTAATAAATTACCTATTTTTATTTATTTTTTTTTTTAAATTTTTTTTATTTTATTTTTATTTATTTTCTTTTACACTTATCTTTTCATTTATTTTTGTTTAATTTTATTTATATGTTTTATTTAATTTTAATTTAGAAATATTCAATTCATTATATGAATTTATATGGTAAATTTTGAAGTAAACTTATTAGCTTGCTGACATGAAAAATATGAGGAATGAACTAATAAGACGACATTGCGTCAGTTTGGTCCCCATTTGAAGTTCCATTAAATAAATAAAAATAAAAACAAATAAAAATAAGTAAAAATAAATAAAAATAATTGAAAAAATGAAAATAAAAAAATAAATAAAAACAAATAGAAAAAATGAAAATATAATCTGAAAAAATATTTTTTATTTGTATTTACTTTCTTTTATATTTATGTTTTCATTTATTTTTGTTTAATTTCTATTTTTAATAAATTACCTATTTTTTTTTTTTTTTTTTTTTTTAATTTTTTATATTTTTTTTTATTTATTTTCTTTTACACTTATCTTTTCATTTATTTTTGTTTAATTTTATTTATTTGTTTTATTTAATTTTAATTTAGAAATATTCAATTCATTATATGAATTTATATGGTAAATTTTGAAGTAAACTTATTAGCTTGACTGACATAAAAAATATGGGGAATGAACTAATAAAAACGACATCCCGACAGTTTGGTCCCCACTTAAAGTTCCATTAAAAAAATAAAAACAAACAAAAAAGAACTAAATAAATATAAATAATTAATAAATACAAATAGGTAAATTAAAAAAATTGAAAATAAGTAAACAAAAAGATAAAAGTAAAAGAAAATAAATACAAATAAATAAAAATAAATTAAATAAATAAAAATAATTGTAATTAAAAAATTAAATAAAAACAAATAAATATGAATAAAAATAATTAAAACTAAAAAAACTAAAAAATGTAAATAAATAAAAACAAATAAAAATAAATAAAAAAAAATTAAAATAAAAAAATAGGTAAATTATTAAAAAAAATAAATGAGAAAATAAGTGTAAAAGAAAATTAATAAAAATAATAAAATAAATATAAATAAAATAATAAAAAAGTGAAAAAGTAAAATTATAAAAAATAAATAAAAACAAATAGAAAAAACGAAAATATAATTTGAAAAAATAGTTTTTATTTACTTTCTTTTACATTTATTTTGGTTTAAATTTATTTATTTTTATGTTTTATTTTTAAAAATTTACCTAATTTTATTTAATTTTTTTATTTATTTATATTTATTTATTTTTTATTATTTGTTATTTTTGATTTTTTTAATTATTTTTATTTATTTTTTTTTCTTTTACATTTATCTTTTCATTTATTTTTTATTTGTTATTTTTAATTTTTTTAACTATTTATTATTTTTTATTTAAATTTTTGTTTATTTTTTTATTTATTTTTACTTATTTTTATTTGTTTTTATTTTTATTTATTTAATGGAACTTCAAGTGGGGACCAAACTGACGCAATGTCGTCTTTATTAGTTCATTCCTCATATTTTTCATGTCAGCAAGCTAATAAGTTTACTTCAAAATTTACCATATAAATTCATATAATTAATTGAATATTTCTAAATTAAAATTGTCAACTTAAAAAAACAAAAAAAAAAATTTCTTAAAAGATATTTATAATTTTCGGAGTAAATAAAATCATTGAATTTTCAGCTTGCTATGATAAAAGTAAAAGAAAATAAATAAAAATAAATATATAAAAATAAATAAACCTAAAATTTAAATAAATAACAAATAGTTAGAAAAATTAAATAAAATTAAACAAAAATAAATGAAAAGATAAGTGTAAAACAAAATAAATAAAAATAATTACAAAGAGTTAAAAAATATTAAATAAAGTTTGGCGTGGTACCCAAATTTAATTTTGCCTCTGTGGTGAGGGTGATACATGGCCTGGTACTACCTGTATGTTAAGACAGGAGTCGTCACTGCTTGTGGCCATATTTTAAGACAACTTAGCAAAGTCTTTTTTTTTTTTTTTCAATAATCATTTATAAAAATTGTATTTTGAATAAAAATCAGATGAGTGACGAAATTATACGGTCAGGACTATCAAAGAAGAGCTAAAAGTTGTATTTTAAGAATATATTAATTTTTCTATTATTAAAATTTAAGGGTGTCCATGATTTTAGTTCAGGGTGTACATGCTCACGAAAGTCTGGGGATTTTAATGAAAGTAATGGAAAATTTTGAAAGTTTTCAAATACAGTGAGCATCATAAGTCTTACTTACCCCCCCTAACTAACTCGTTACTGGGGTCTTGTTAGGGAAATCGCCGAGACAGGTCGATTTTTGATTTCTACAATGTACATTTTTGCATGATTAGTTTACCCTTAATTTCATTCCTTACTGGAGGGTAGCAACCCTTTCGAAAAATTTAAATGGCATGGGGTGGGGGGGGTTTTATTCTCTATTCAACCGTGCAAAAAAATTTGAAATTTGCTTCATTACGTGTTGATTTATTAATGTTTAAAAATAACAAAACCTTACAAATTTTTTTACACGGTTGAATAGAGAATAAAACCCTCTTTCAAATGAGCTATCACTCACCACTCCATGCCATTTAAATTTTTCGAAAGGGTTGCTCCCCTCCTGGGGGTCGATTCTCGACTTGTAGGAACCTTTTCCTATAGGAATTTGTGACACTTTTCTATATGTAGGGAAATGTCATAAATTTTTGATGTACATAAAAATGTCAAAAATTCCTATAGGAAAATATTCCTACGAGTCGAGAATCGACCCCCAGTAAGGGATGAAATTAAGGGTAAACTATTTATACAAAAATGTACATTGTAGAAATCAAAAATCGACATGTCTCGGCGATTTTCCTAACGAGACTCCAGTAATGAGTTAGATAGGGGGGGTAAGACTTATGGTGCTCACTGTATATTATTAGTTCCCCTTTCGTGCATATCTGTCTTTATACACTACTGGCAAGACCAAACCTTCAGTCCTGCTTTGTGTTAAGAGTTAATAAGTAGCGCTCACATATGCAGGAAAAAAGTGACATAGTATCATTGTTGGCAGTCACAGGCAGAGCCATTGGTCGATAGTGCCTTTACTATTCACTCCCAGCACAAGCAAAGTGGGACTAAAGTTTTGATATTGCCAGTAGTGTAGAAAAAAAGTGTTATAACTTTTTCAGTTTGTTTAATTAGACATGCAACTTTACTCTAGGACTGCTATAAAAATAGACTAACTTTTGTTTGTATATTCAAGGGCAGGCAAGCCCATTTAAGTCTTAATACATTTTTGTAGGTTAAAACATGATGAATATATGTTCCCAATATTGATTATTCAATGATTGCTTATAATTTTTCCACCTGATTTCAAACATTTTCTTAAAGTTGCATCATTCTAAATATATTTTTATTCATCTAAGTTATAACTTTTTAGGTTTTGCGTCTAAGAGGAATCATCCCCCGAGACACTAAATGGGATGTAGTAGTTGATCTCTTCTTTTACCGTGAACCTGAAGAAGCTGAAAAAGAGGAACAAGCAGCAAAAGAAGCGGTTGCTGCTGTTGTTAAACCTGCGGAAATTCCTCCTCCACTTGAAGGCCAGGACACAGACTGGAATACTGTTGAGACTACCGATTGGGCAGCTGATGTTGCTCCAGTCGTTCCAGTACCTGCCCCCGCATTTAATGTTGCAGGACCTACAGATGACTGGGCTGCAGAGGTTGCTCAAGAACAATGGTCGGCTCAGCCACAACCACCAGCACCTGCACCAAACTGGGGAGGTTCCAGCGATTGGCATTAAACATGTTTTTAAGTTTACATGAGTGGTTCGATTGTACCAATTAAACATCTTATAAAATTTTGACTTTTTTGTTTTGTTCTACTCCCAGGTTTCTCAAAGTTCAGCACTTATTTGATGACAGTATAAATTTATCATTAATAATCTGAATTTATTTAAACAAAAACAGGAAAAGGGTATAATCCATAAAGGAAAAAGTAAAACAAAAAAGGTACTTTACTTTCTCTTCTACAAAAACAAATATTAAAATACAAACTAAAAATTAATAGATTGATCGACTTACCTGTAAGGATGATCGATCTAAATTATTCCAGCTGTTGTCCGTAATGATTATTACACCCTGTAGTATGCAGTGATTCATACTAACCAGCACAAATATACAAAGAAATGAACAAAAAACCTGACTCAGCCGCATTCTTGTATTATTTCAACCGTCCTAATAAGCTCATTGCATTTGTTTGTTCAATTAGATCCGAGGGATAGGGAAGGGGCGATATAATAATCATTACGGACAACAGCTGGAATAATTCAGATCGATCATCCTTTCAGGTAAGTCAATCAATCTATTGTAACCACTCGGATGTTTCGTTTATCGCTAGGCTAGGACCACCCTGTTATGATTCACGAGTGCTACTCATTTCGTAGAACGATACGTCGAACTGGGACACATAAGAATATTTGTTGATTAGCACGGTATTCATTCGATACGTTTCATTTTATGTACTATTATTCTTAACACCGATTAAATTCGATTCTATATTAAAATCAGATTTATTTCATTTAAAATTAATTAACATAGTTTACAGGTCAGGTGTGGGGTGAACTAACTGCTTACCTTTGTTATAGAAAAACGTACGTGACGTAAGTGAAATACTTTATAAGTTGTTACGTAACTAAAAAGGATACCATTAAGGCCTTAGTTAAGTTATTTAGTGATTCGTGTTAAGGCTGGGAAATGGACTAAAAATTGCCGTTTTTGTCATTTTACAACGTGTTACTAAATCATGCTTTTTAGATTAATAAAGAAAAATTACAAGGTAATTGAGTTATAATTATAAACAGAAATGTTGTAAGAATGAATTGAATATACACATATTCGATAATCACTAATCATAATTTCAAATTATCATTAAAAACTTGAAAAATTTTATTGCAAGGATGATTAAGCAAATTATTTTCAATGAATTCTCTATGATTTTTTTATTAACTATCCTACAATATGACGGCTGTCGGTCTAATAATTATTACAAAAAGCATGATTTCAATTTGCAAATTTTGACACAATTTTTAAAATTGACGCGTTAATTATCATGTCATTTTAGTACATCGTGTTCACCACCAATGCGACATGCAAGGCTGAGTTAACATATGCATTGAAACTTGGGCGACAACTAATGGTTGCCAATCAGAAAAGTAAACGTCTTATGTCAAATTATTGGTTGACCAATTAGAAATGCAAACGGCATGTCAAATTATTTCAAAGTACAATACGAACCGTTGCTCAAATATACTTGTATATGATAATCAATGATAATACGACGTTGCCGTTCTATGTATGTTTACAATGGTTTTAAAGATATTTATTGAGTGACAAAATCTTTCTCCATGGACAAAATCGGGAAGATTTTAAGGCACAAGCACTTTTGTTAGTTGACAAGAATTAAAAAAAATATAGTTTTGTACGTTCTCAAACCTGCTTTATACAGTGTGTGTCAATAAGTTGGATCCATATGCGATTTTTTTTTGATATTACGATTGGAAAAAACATCGTAAACCATCATCTCTGGTTATTTAAAAACTTAAACCAACCCATATTAAATTTGACTACTGGATTTAGTTCTGTCAGTCTCGTTTAAAAAAGGATTTTTGAGCGATTTTTCAAAATTATTACGAATTTGACAGGTAAGTAACGTACGTAGCCAACTTTTTAAATAATCAGCGGTAAATGACGTTTTTTCCGGTCATAATATTAAAATTGCCATATATATATGGACCCAACTTTATTGCACTCACTGTATGTCATGAAGACTAATTTTAAGAATTGAAGCCAATGAAGTGGTGTACAAATGGATATTTTTCTGCAATATTAATTTTGAGTTTGTTTGAAGTAGTTATTATAATCAGTTTTATTAATGTTAATTGTATCGGTTTATGAGCAATTTTAATAAAAACTAATTCAAAACTTGCAAAAATACCGAAATATTTTTGTTTATTGCAAAAATAATTATTGCCCAGCAAACACAAACATGTAACATATATGTATCATTTACATATACTAGTTCCGTGTTACATAACAAAGTAACTTACATGTTACATAATAACTCACGTGATTACTGTGAAAAATTACCTAATTTTGTTATATAGCAGGTTCCTTATATGTGATGTAGTGGGTTAAGTACATGTAAGGAACAGTGTTATATATCGGAAGACATGTAACATTTATATTACCATTGTAACATTTAATATTCTTCATTATTACAGCACATATACATTACTTTTTTCATATAACATTAGTATTATAAATGTTATATAAATGAAGGTATGTAAATGTAGGTATTAGTTATACAGTGTGTGTCTACTTAAGTTGGAACAATATGGAAAACTCTTGTATTATTGACTTTGTAAAAAAAAGTATTCTTGATAAAAAGTTCTGCATGGTCTAAAACTTAAAATGCAACCATCAGATATAATCCCTATACGAGGTTTTTCTAAAAATATGAATTTTAGTCAAGAGTAAAATACCTTTATTTTTTACAATACAGAAGAATATTATAAAGTAAAGTTACTTTGAATTAAAAGTTATATTGAAATATGCAATTATAGTCATTTAGCATGATAATTCAGGTTAGGTGATTATTTACGTTTTACATTATAAATTATTTGTAGTTATAAATTAATTAATCACCAAACCTGAATTTTAATGCTAAATCGCTGTAATTGCATATTTAAATATATCTTTTAATTTAAAATAATTTTACTTTATAACATTCTTCTGTATTGTAAAAAATAAAGGTATTTTATTCTTGAGTAAAATTCATATTTTTTGGCAAACAGCTTAAAAAATTGATATCTGATGGTTGCATTTTAAGTTTTGGATCATACATGGCTTTTTATCTAGAATACATTTTTTCACATAACTAATAATAAAGTTTTTCTATATGGTTCTTAAGTAGACACACTGTATGACAAATACTTACAAAAAAAACGTCGAAAATATTTGGAGGAATAAAGAAAAGTAATTTAAACGTATTTGTTAGGTATATCAATAATTTTATTGGACAAATTCATAACCGAAACCAAAAATGTGTTATAAAAATATTGCACACAAATATAATAACCTAAATTCATCATAAAAATCACAAAACATCTGCAATTAACGACCATCCACGTCCTCAAAATTCAGCGCCCCATATCAAGCATGACATGAAAAGAGAACAAAAATTAATATTTACACCTCAAATGTATCATCGAAATATAGTACACACATATAATAACTCAATTTCATTATAAAAACACAATATACCTACTATTTTCCACAATAAATCCATAAATGCCACAGGTACCACCATAAAACGCCTATAGCCGCCATTGAACATTGAAACACTACTAAAAATAATGCACCAGATATACCTACTTACCTAAAAACATGCGTATTTCAAGGACCGTTTGGTCAACAGCATTTATTTATATATACGCTATGTAACATTTTGAACGAAATAATTTAGTACAAATTGTTACTTTAATGTAGATTACATATAGATATATAAATTGATATAACCTTTACGTGAAGAAATTTATATAACGGATATGTAATTTTGTAACATATATTTTAATTATATACAAGGTATATAACTATGTTGCTAAGTTTGAACTTATGTGTTCGGTTCCATAAATAACACATAAAAGTGCATACAAGACAGTCTAAGTATATTTTATCCTTCTTAGTTATGTAACAGGAGGGAACATGTAACAGAATGGTTTGCTGGGTGATAGGACATGGGTGGAAGGAAATTAGACATAAAACAAAAAGTAGTTTATTAGAAAAAAGATTATAGTATATTACAATAAAAACAACCTAAAATATAATACAGATGTCAAAAATATTGGAAATGAATCCTTCATATATCTTTCAACATTAAATTTTTGTTACACTTTTATTCCTTGAGGAACTTTGAAACCAAACGACTTTTGGGAACACATGACTTTGCAATTGCACATCTTATTTCTCTTCCTCTTTCTACTCGGGACATTTGTATGATGCCCCATATTTTATAAGGTAAAAGTTTATTCACTAACTACTAAATATCCTTATAACTAATGAAGTCTTATAAAAGTAACAAAATCACGAATAACGAAAAAGCACAAAAAAATAACAACACCCACTTAAAAATCTGCCAAAATTCAAACACGAAAAACGAACTGTTTACGTTTTGTCGTTTAGACTTCAATCCTTCGACATTTGAGTTTTTTGTCTTGTCAGTTGCCAGAGACTACCAGCACAGCTTAACAATACAGCTAATGGCCATATTCACCGTATGTATATAAGCTTCGCTTAAGCTTTAAGATTACTTAGATCACATATTTTATATGCACCGAAGTCATTATAGCACTTAAGCGAGAGATTAGTTAAGCCCCCATTTTTAGCGGCTGAAAATTACAAAGTAGAGCTTTGTCAAAAACATAACCTATTTTCTCGAGTTACCCAAGTTTTAAATAGATCGTTACTTTGATTTTTTATTTTATTTCTAAAGATATATATTTAAAATATGGAAGTGGAAGATGAAATTTTTGTAGATGACGATATTGATATATTGGGTAAAATAGATTTCGGTTTTCCACGCCGTCTTTATTATATTGAAAATATGGATGATTTGAGTTTTTTTCGAAGATTCATAGTTAATCTGATATCCGCATTGGAACTAATTGAAGATCAACTAGAGTTTGAAAACGACACTTGTAAGTATTTTGATAGTGATAAGACTGTCTTTTATTATATAATTAAATATTTTTTAGAAACAATAGCGTATCTCCAATCAACCAACTTCTAACTGCTTTAATGTTTTATGCAAGTAGTGCTCATCAAATAAATATTAGCGATTTTATGCATATGGATCAAAGTACTGTTTTCCGTATAATAACACAAGTATCTGCAGCTATTGCTAGCTTTCTAAATCAATTTATTAAAATGCCAAGTACTCCTGAAGAAATACTGTCATGCCAAACCAACCATAACACTCTCTTGGCGGCAACGGTTTACGTCGAT